GAGCTTGCTTTCTTATCTCTCCCTCTTTTGCCTATACATTGCTCTTATTCACATTGCTAACCGATTGATGACGGGCGCTTGAAGAGGGATAAGTAACTTTAAGGTATGTCACCAGACCAAGTGCTCATTATCAAGGCTACAGACCTTACAAATAGCTAGAGCTCTGTATGAATTGATTCTAATCTAGCTAGTTAAGACTATCTTCATGACCCCCCAAATAAATGATGCGCTAAGCTTTGTTGGAGTAAATTCCAACTGAGGTGGTTTAAGGGTTTCACTGTTGAAATGTTTGGCGATAATACCCGAAAAGAACAGAGCATATCAGTTGTATACTCCTAGTCAGCAAGGCCTGGTGAACAAATTAGTGCAATCGTCATATAGAGAAGCCACTCTCTCATGTCAACTTTAGCAGAGTCAATCTTGGGCGAAGCCATAAGTTTGATGAATAGAAGGATATAGGAAAGATAAGTGGGCGACTAGACAATAAGTATAGGTCGAATGTTATTGTCAGCAGCAAGCAATAAATCTTTCCTTATTTTGGGGAAAGTGGGTAGGCAATTCCTACTTCCTTTTTTTTCCTGTATTCTGCTTCACGATCAGAGCGAATGAACCCAGCAGCCTGTGGTGCCGTTAGATCTTCATTTCCACATGGGACCTATAAAGAGTGAAATCACAATGGAAAAGGTGCTGTTACGAAAGTCCTACTGCCTACAAATTTAACAAGAGTTCCGAAATGACAGGGTGATCGTACAGTGCAATTAAGACGATGAGGACATTGCCTCAGCTGCATGTTTTGAAAGCCGGCTGGCATGTAAAAAACATCGAAATTATGCATGTATTTGGAGGTCGTCATCCCCTCCCCAGTCTCCCATCCTACAGCGTCATCATCCTGGGTTCATAAACTAAGGTGGATTTCTGAATGTAGCCTAATCAAGATAAGCATCGTGTCCTCGAAGTAAGTAATACAACATCGTTACCCAGCGTGGAAAAGCATTTATGTTATTGAAGGTCTAATCCCAAGCTCTAAAACCCAGATTCATGATTTTGAAAAACGTCCGACCGTACCAGTCAAGCAGAGCACAGACATCATAAGCTGCAGTGCTGTCATTCGAAGACCAGATTTATTCGACAAAGAAGAATGAAATTGGTCATAGAAACAAAACAAGGGAAACATACTTTATGCGACAATTCCATCCCTTTTGTGTTCTGTATCTAATTTGGTATATAATGTCCATTATTTCTGAACCACAGGTTAGCTACAAAAACATAAAACGAGAGCTTCAGTTGAATTACTATGACTTATACTTAATTGGACGTACCATCTGTGTCACCATTTTGTTTGGGTTCTTGAGACTTTCTACTGGAGTGGTTTTCGAGATGATGGTGGTGGTGGTGCCTTTTGTTGAATTCTTGTTACGGTACTGATGCTGCTAGCTTGAATATTCATTCTGCATCTCAACAAGAAGATTCTTCCGGCCAGTTCTTTTGGGAAAACAAAAAAAGTCAATCCGAAAACAGCATCAACCAACCAATAGATTCAGTCCTCTCTTATCTGAATTGCTCGGCAATACTGAGCCCCGAATTATTGCTTCGTCACCTGAGACCTCGGCATGTGGTAATTTCGGGACCCCATGCCCACTGGCAGCTGATTTCTCTCCGAGCAGATCCTGGTAGCCCATAAGCAAGGCTCAAACAAAAGGTTTTCATCCATGCTAGAAAAGATAGGCCCATATGATGATACTATAAAGAAACCCAAATCGAATCCACCAAGAGACGGAATTGTTTTTTCTTTCTCGATAATTATATACATATACTATTTTTTATATATATAGAGAAATGGTATAATTATAAATTTTTTTATTTTTTTTATTATAGTGGTGATAAAATTATAATTTTCAAATTTTTTAAAAAATAATTTTTTATATTTTTTTCCACTATGTACTTCATATTTTTATCATTTTATAATTGATATATTTATCACCTTTTTTATCTTTTTTTTTGTAATATTTTTTTAGTTCTTCCTCCTTTTTTCTTTACCTATTTTATGGAAAAAAATTATTTTTTTATTTTTTACAATTTAAATATTTATGGCTTGGCCTATTTATACTATTCTTGTTATTTTTATTTTTATTCTTTTGTGATTTTTTTTCATTTTTTTCCTTACATTTTTTTTTGAAATTATTATACAAAAACTAAGGAAATGATATTTTACTATAACAATTGCAACATTATTCTATTTTTCTGTTAAAAATTAATTTAATTACATGTTTTTATGTATACATTTGATATTTACTATATTTTATTATATGTAAATATTAATTTTTTAATTTACAGTTATATAAGAAAACACATTAATAATCCTACATATTAACTTTTTTGTGTTATAAATTTATTAAACCAGTTGAATAAAGTGTTAATTACACTTTGTTTTTTGTATTTATCAGCATATATAATTTTTAATATATTTAATTAAATGCATGCATGATTTTGTTAACTTACAGTCATAATTTTTTTTTAAAAAATAAATCTTGAATATTTATTTTTTATAAAAAAATAATTATTTAACCTGTGAAAAAGCAAGAAAAGTAGTATGTTTTCAATATCAAGTGCATCTTAGAAGGAAAAACTCATTTGATTTAATGACTGGAAAGTCAAGGTTTCTATACCTGACAATTTTGATCGATTTAACTGATGTTGTGTAAGGTGTTTTATATTATAGATTGATTGATTTAATTAATTAATTAATTAGAATGGATATAAACATATGATTATAGATTTAATGACCTGTTTTTTTCTCTTGATTTAACAAAATGAGAATGGATATAAACATATGATTATAGATTCAATGACCTGCTTTTTTCTCTTGATTTAACAAAATGTCACACCCTCTCTCCAATGGTAAGAAAAAACACGACAACAAGCAAAAAACGTGTCCTTGGCAATTGCTAGATGATATTTTTTTCTACATATTTTTATAATTTTAATATATTTTTAAACAAATAATATTTTTAAAAATAACTGCTAGAATAATTTTAAACTCCACCAAATCCACGCACAAAGTCGCACCGAAACGGGTGACCACAAATAAACGTGTGACCTTAGGGCTGAGCTGAAGTGTAATAAGCCCGTGTGAGGGAGCAACACACAATTAGGAGGGCCGAGCATCAAGACTGGCAAAATTACACGCCGAGTTTGTGCCACGTCGATGTTTTATCATGGTCGGCAGGTTAAGCGAAGAAGACCACATATAGAAAAGTCTCTTCTCTTCCGGTGGAGGTCAAGCAACCACGTGTCACCTGATCCTTGGTTTTGAAAAAGTTTAACGAGTAAAATTAGGGTTGGTTGGGGGTGACGTGTTGTCCCAGAGGAGAGGAAGGGAATGATCAATCCGTGGCAGTTGGATCTTGCATGGGGTCACGTGACTCAACCTGGCTATTTATGGGTCCTAGGAGGCAATTTTACTTTATGGGCAAAGAGTGCAATCTCCTATAGTAACTTCTTTGTTGTCTTGTTTTTTATTTGGAATTCTATAACTCTACAAGTAAAATACTTTATGTATTTATATATCTGTTTACTAAATAACTCCCAACAAATTATCCTCCATTTTTAAGCTTAAGTTTTTTTTTCAATATTAAAAAATAAAAATGGATCCAATGTGAAATGTTCTATGTAAAGGAGTCATAATCATATTAGTAATCATATAATAAAAAGCAAGATAACATTTATGCTCCATTCTTGCTACTTGTCAGGAGTTTTTTTTTTCTTTTTAATTTTAATATTTTTTTTAAATGATATAGTTTTAAAAATATTTTGGAAACAACACATAAGATATATACAACTTGTAAGTTATAAACAACTCTTTTGAATTGTTAAATAGTATAAAATAAATAAATTAAGTAAAAATATAAGCCTCAGAATATATCAAAGCTGCTATAATGATATTATCGGTAATATAAAAAAGATATCAACGAGACAAATCCAATTATTTTTATTTTTTTTCTTTGTATTTTTTATGAAATTATCTAAATTTTATTTTTATGTTCACAAAGTTAATAAGCTAACTTGGGTTGACACACATATTTTTTTTTATTTTTTTAATTATTTGTTTGAATAGATTATAAAATTGTAAAGGATCAAATTGAAAATAAAAACCAATAAAAAATAAAATAAAGAAAATAAGGGTAGAGATGCTTAAATCGAGGGCAACCCACGCTTCAGGGCTTGTTTATTTATTTATTTATTTGTGTTTTTTATAGGACAAATAACATGTCATTTGTTTTTATTTTTCTTTAAAAAAGTAAGAAAAATGTCACCTACTCTATTTAAATTTTATCGACCCGTAGTCACTAAAAATTTAAGATAAAAGTGTTTTAAATTCTAAAACTCTATTTTCAAGCATTGTTTTGACCCAAGAACATCTAAATTACACCTAGGAGACCCAAACAAACTTATTTATACTTTTAAATAACCCAAAAAAGATATGAAAACAAAAAATCAATCAAAAACTTTCAAGGTTGGATTTGATTTCTCAAGCAATTTAAAGGTGAAATAACATCTTAATGGAATTTTTCTCATCAAATAAATTTTGTAGACACTAAAATTGATTATTTTGGTGGTTGAAATCATTATCAATTGATCTTTTTTCTTTCTACAACTAGAATTCTATTATTTTCTCTTTCCTATCTCAAATTAGACACAAAAAATAAGAGAAATAAAGTTTTGGATAAAAAAATAAACTTTAAAAAAATCAAAGGGATTGAAAATGGATATGTTGCAAACTAAGAGGATTAAAGTAAATTTTTTTAATCATTTTCAAAACAACCATCTATTTCCTCTGGGGTTTTTTTATATTGGTCCTCTATTTTTTTGTTCTATAATTCCTTAACAAAATAGAAGCGAATGGCCTTCAATACGTGGCCATTGAATGATGCAATTGATGAAAAAAAAAGGTTGGATTACTTATTAAAATTAGTTAGAAACGACGATAAAAAAAAAAAAATCGGCGTAGACAAGGAAGTTAAGTAGACGATTAATTGAAAGGTCTAAAATGCAAGCTTACTGTTACAGACACGCAGCCCATCCACAGAGAGGGAGAGAGAGAGAGATTGCCATTTTTGTGTCCTCTGCCCTCACGCACCCACACAGTGACCGTAGTTTTCTGTCTTTCCAACCTCCCCAAAGCTGGAAACGGAGTAACTGTTCATGATTATGAACGCCAACTCCTCCTCTTCAACTTCAACTTCAACTTCGACAGCCGGAGCAGGAGCAGAAACAGGTGCGAATCCTGCTGGTCCTTCTCAATCAATGGCTACACCTACATCATCATCAACACCACCAGCTACAGGTACAGGTACAACAGCAGCAGCTAGTAGCGATGGCTCAGGCAAGAAAGTTAGAAAACCTTATACAATCACCAAGTCTCGTGAGAGTTGGACTGAAGAAGAGCATGACAAGTTCCTTGAAGCCCTTCAATTGTAAGTTTCCTTTTCGCCCTTGTTTCTATATCTACTCTCTACCCCCTCGTTTCTTTAGTTCTCTCTCTTGAAATTCAAAATAAGAAAGAGAAGGAAAGCAAGTACTAATTGCTTATTATTGTTATTATTATTATTAATCTTGTTTTAACAATTGACTTTGATTTAATGCCTTTGCTTCTTAGTTTTTGACAATTTGATGGTGGTACAAATACCTTTGAATCAATAGAAATTCTGTATGTTAAAAGCAAAATATAATTTGACATCGTACCACGTTTTGAACTTTCAATTTTCAAATCGCTAATCAAATGCTTCTTGATTCTGTACCATGCTTATCTAATTTTTTTTTTTTGTCTGGTCCTCTTCATTCAGGTTTGATCGCGACTGGAAAAAGATTGAAGATTTTGTGGGTTCGAAGACGGTGATCCAGGTCTGAATCATGCAGTGTTTTCGCTTTGCAGGTTAACGTATCTATCATGCTCTTTACTGATCATATACATCTGCAGATTCGGAGTCATGCCCAGAAATACTTTTTGAAGGTCCAAAAGAATGGTACAACGGCGCATGTTCCTCCTCCTCGCCCTAAACGCAAAGCCTCTCATCCTTACCCACAGAAGGCGTCGAAAAATGGTTTGACCTTTTTCATGGAATATGATGATAAATGCGGTTGTACTTTAAAGTTGCTTTCTTGACATGCTGTTTCTTAATTATTGCAGTTTTAGTGCCGCTCCCAGCATCCATGGCTTACCCTTTATCGATGAATACCTTTGCACCAGGGTATGCTCTATGGGATGAAACTTCAGTGTTAATAAACTCCGCAACAAGCAAAATCATGCCATCAGAAGATGAACTTCCAAATCTTCACGGAGCTGAAGGTGTGCACACTTCTTCATTTCTTATCTTCCTGTTATTGTATTAGTATATCATTTCTACTAGAGGGAACTTTCCAACACTTCTTATGGCTTGCAACCTTGCTGATTCAGCTGATATTGGACCAAAGTGTGTATCAAGGGTTAGTAACAATACTGTCAGTGGCCTTGGGACCTCAAGTAGAACATTGCCAAGTGCTGAGATGCCAAAACAAGGGAAGCAAGCGCCTGTGCTTCATGGTAACCCGTAATCCACAAGACTAAAGTTGTTAATTTTCCACTTATACTGACCTTAAACTCAAAAACAAGTAATTTTCCACTTATACTGACCTTAAACTCAGAAAAAAGAATAAAAAGCTCTATCTTACTTCTTTCCTATTGTCTGCAGGTATACCAGATTTTGCAGGTATACCAGATTTTGCTGAAGTATATAGCTTCATTGGAAGTGTTTTTGATCCAGACACGAAAGGGCATATGAAAAAGCTACAGGAAATGGACCCTATAAATTTTGAAACTGTGAGTTGAATTGAATTGAGATGCCTCTTTGTCCAATGATACTATGCAAAGATAAGTATTTGTATAATCATAGAGAAAATTAGATATGCAGTTTAGCAGTGAGAAGTGGTTCATTATTATAGTGGAAGTCTATCCTACAGTACAATAAATGAACCTCTGATTCTTATCTTTCTACTCAAGCATTGTATATTATGCAAGGGGACTACAGAAGTTAATAGTATCGTTGGAGCACTAATAAGATTTAGTAGAAATTTGGTTGCGAGCCACGTATTGCTGGTAAATTGGTAATATGAACCAGTGTTCTGTGTCTGGGAACTTAAACTAAGGATCTGAAAATAACACTCAAGAATGAGGATTGCCACGTGTATTGGATTGAAGATTTTAGTCTCACCTGTTATTTACAACTCAATCAGATTTTACAGGGTTACACTGCCATCCTTCTTTAGATAGACATCAATTTAATACATAAAGAGAAAGATCTATGTTAATTTTTCTGGTTTAACCTGACAGAAGTGGATTTCATTTGGAGCTATCATGGCGAGTTACTTTTGGATATAGTGAGCCAATGTCAGGGGAAGTCCTCTCCATCACTAGATATAATTTTCATCCCATATAGCAACATTATGATTTTCTACTCCATAAAATTAAGAGCTGACCTGGTTCATGTTCGTCTCACTTGTGAGTTTGATGGGATGTTTGGCTCTTCAAAATCAGCTCTTCAACTCCTCAACTTGATTAAGATTGCAGTGATTCAAGTAAATTATTAGAGAGGCGGTTGGGGGGGGGGAGTTTCCATCTGCTATGATGTGTAGTATCAGTGTGTTAGTGGAGTTCTCAAAATAGGACAAGATTGCATCTTTTTCCCATCATGGTGTTAGTTAAAATAACTTTGGTGTGTACTTTCTAATTTTCCTGATTATTCCCATGTTCTCTGTGTATAATTCCTTTTGGTGTCTTGCAGGTTTTGTTATTGATGAGGAACCTTACTGTTAACTTGTCTAGCCCTGATTTTGAGCCATATGTAAGTGTTAATATTTTGTAAGCATGTTCATAACAGCTCTTACCAGCATGCATGTATGTTACTACTTATTTTGATATATTGCAACCATAATCTGATTATTATGGAAAAGCTGAGGTTTCATTCAATGCTAAAGTTTTAACATGTTAGATTTCTTTGTTGTTTTTTCCATGAAGCTGAGAACTTGCCCTAATAGTTTTTACAGAGAAAACATTTGCTGTGTTGTAACATGGAAGTTTCATCTGTGTAAGACTTTTGGTGGTCATTTCTCTCTGAAAAAGATCTTTGTGTAGAAGCCTTGTCTAAGTGAATTTATGGGGCTGTCTCAAAAGGAATGTTAAATGATCTGATGGAAAATTGTCTAGAGGGGGGATGATAAATGACGATAGAAAATGTTGAAATTATAGCAAAGTGTGGATTGCCATTAACAGTTTATCAGGCCTCTTGGCTTTCTTTTTTTTGTGCCTCCCTTTCTTTTCAAGTCCTGATAAAGTTGCAGGCTCTGTAATTATTTTCAATTATAACTTGCCTCTGCAGATATTCCTCACTTATTTTGACCAAGTAAGATGAAAATCTGCTGACGTTGCTCACGTATAATTCATATGACACCACATACATAACTTGCAGGTATGATGCATGTGGAAACAAAGATAAGCATCAGCGTTTGCATCTATCTCTTCGTTAATTTTTCATTCCTGAATGTGCATGTAGTTTGGTGTGTGCTCCTACAAGATTCTGAATAGAATAAAAGGCCCAGGAAAAATTTTCCTATGAAATATCTTCGAACAAGTTCTTTAATTTATTTGCTAGTTTACATATTATTTTTTTTATAGATTCTTCAATGATTGTTCTGTAATCTTGGCTAGTTTACCTCCTTGGTTGATTTAGAGGAAGGTCATGTCATCATATGATGTCAATACCAAAGCAGTGGGAGTTTCTGCCCTGAATCAGACCAATGATATAGCATGTTGAACTACTTACATTTTGCTGACTTGTACGTTTTTCGTAATCTTCATTTATTTTTCATTTCCTAGCTTCTCTAGGCTCTAACTTCATCTTCACATCTTTCTTTGCAGTAACGTGGTGATGTTGGCTGGAATTCTTGCTGCATCACTAAAATCAAATAAATGTGCCTGCTTTATCTTTCTGCACATGCCTGGAAGTTCATTCTGAGACAGACAGTGGCAGCCACGCCAAGGGAGAGTTTATGATGGTAGAACAAAGTTTTCTACTGATTTTCAAGGTCCATGAACGGTGAACCTTGACGTCTACTGACCTGAATAGCAATGGCTGTTTCTATTCTATTGACGATTTGGCCTTCAACCAAACAAGTGTGTATATCTTGTGAGACCTGTTCGGCCGTCCCTTGAGATTAATATATAGTTTTGCATATAGCGGGGTACATTTTGCCGAGGCCTTGTAACTAAAAGAACTAGAACACACGAGGAAAAAGTACTTCCCTTCCCTTCAGACTTGTGAAGTAGGTTACTCTGTATTAGCATGACCTCCATTTGTTGACAATATACTGTGTTTTTGCTTCTGTAATTTTTCAGCTAAGAAATCGGATTTCTTTCCCAGGATTGAACTACAGTGCGCATCTAGCCTTTTATCAAGAGGGTGGACAGGCTTTATCAAGAAAATAATAATTGTCTTTACCTTCCTGGAATCAACTGTATACTGTGGGTCTTACCTTTAACTCGGGTCTCTGCTGGTATGGTGTCGTCTTAAAACTCGCTTTATTTTGCCTGTTTGGTATTTGACTGGATAAATTTTATTTTAGTTTTTAGTTAAAATTATTTTTTATATTTTCAGATTGTTTTAAATGTTGATATCAAAAATATTTTTTAAAAAATAAAAAAATTATTTTAATATATTTCTCAACGAAAAAATATTTTAAAAAGTAATTATTACTACATTTCCAAATATCTCATAATAATTTTTCTATTATTAGTAATTTTGGCATTCATGAAGGTTGCTTGTGTATTAATAAAATTTTCATTTTAAGAAAATAAAAAAAATGAATAAAACTATACTAACATAAAATATTTAAGGTACAAAAATGAACAAAGATTGTATTTTATGCTTTACTATATTTTAACATGATTATACAAATCATTTTATTTTAAAGAATTACTTACTTTGTAATAAATATTAAAGTTATAGATATGAACCAAGGATCCTTATAAAAAATAACAAAGGTTAAATTTAATAATTTGTTTAATTTTAATGTAATTTAAGTATGAATCTCTCTCTTTTGGATAAAAAGGGCTTTATTTTTTAATTTTAATTACTATATGTTGTATAAATAGAAACTTAAAATATAGGCATAAACAAATATTTCACGATTTCTTTTATTTAAAGGAGTTCTTTTAGTATCAATGGTACAAAGGAATAATAAAAAATCATATGAATCTTTCGTCTAAGATAATAAAAATAATTTAATATAAAATATAACTCAATAATTTAATAATTTCTAAAAAGAAAAAAAATCAATTATCTAATTTAATAATTTAATAAAATTCTGAAGCATATCTATTATTTTCAGATTTTAATACATAGCTTGTGTTAATTTATTTTAGTCAACATAAAGTATTAATTATAATTATAAAGTATTAATTATTATTATAACAATGTCTAAAAGTAAGTAGAGGTGAATTCACTATTCACCTTTAACCTTCACGTAGCATTGTTAATTCGAGCAGTGATTTGATTTATTTTTTTTCGTCTTTTAATTTTTGTATTGATTTTTTTTAATTTTAATTTTTAATATTAAACTAATTTAGAATTAAGTTTTATAATTTTATTTTAGTTTATTTTCTATAGAATTATTGCGATTTTAAATAAATATCTCGATATTGAGCTAATGCTTAATTTTACAAGCAACTATTTTTATTATCATATAATTAAATAAAAAATAGTTAAACATAAATTTATTAAACCTATTAGAGTCCATAATTGAGTTGTAGGTTTGGAGGGTTTTTCAATGTTATTAAACCTAGTAGAGTCCATGATCCAAGATGCAAATTTGACAATTTAACTTAGGTTGATTGACATTGAGTTTCATAATTTGTTTTAGTTTGCTTTTATAATATTATTGTATCTCAAACAAACATATTGATATTAGGTTATTACTTCATTTTGCAAGTGTTTATTTTTATTATTATATAATTAAATACAAAATAATTTTATAAAATAAAGTTATTAAAGTTAGTGTAGTCCACGACTTGGGTTATATGCTTGAGAGTTAACTAAAGTTATCAAATCCAATGGAGCTCATGACCTATATTGTGGGCTTAGCAGGTTAACTAAGGTTAGTCTGCCAATCCCAGATTTGATTTAATATGTTTTCATTTGAATAATATCATCTTGAATTTTTTAAGTCAAAATATATTTTTATTAGTCGTTCAACTTGTTTTTGGATCTGAAAAATTGACCAAATGACGTTGGGCAAACCCCACATGATTTAATTTGATACCAAGACTAGACAAGAAGTTGAGTTGAAAGGTTTTAAAATTGATCAACTAGATCGGATTTAATGACACTATCAAAGAGTTTCCTATAACCTAGATATCATTTTTCACATTAATATTTTTTACTTTGATTTATAGCATAGCACAAACCAATTATCAAGTTAGATATTATATGGATTAGGTGTGATTTAAAAAGATTATTTTATACTATTTAAGATTTATTGTGATATATAAATAGACATTTAATGAAAAAATGAGATTAACTTCTTTTTTTAAGAATTATATTAATATTTACCTTATTTTTTTTAATTAGATATAAAATTTGATTTATAGTATTAACACATTTTGTATTTATATGTTTATATGCAACTCCACTTTCTAAAAAGAACCAGTTAAATTGATGTGCAAGAGAAAAAATAATAATAATACTACATTACTACTATGCCAAGAAGTAGATCTCACCACCATGAAGAGAAAAGATCATCCTCCAGATATAATCTTTATAAATCAAAAGGCAAGGCCATGATGATTTATAACCATCGTCATTGCTCCTTTTAGTAGCCTATAACATAATAAACTATGATGAGGCAATGACAAAATCCTTACATGCCAAATAGAAAATTTTCTATTATATCAAAATATGTATATTCACCTATCTAAATATTTTGTAGGCACAAAGATGAATATAAATAACCATGATAGTTTGTCTAACCTTAGAAAACATGTGTAAAACATAAGAAACAATCTTGAGTCAGTAATACATATTATCAATGTAGTGTGTGAAATTCTCCCAACCAATATTTCATGGATCTTCATGAGCCTGATACCATAGTTTAGAGCCTGGTTCCATACTTACTTTCTTTTATTTATATAGTAAGTTGATTGCTAATTTTAGTACAAATATTTTATCAAAAAAGAGTTCAAATAAACACTTGGCCATTACTCAAAGAGTGAGAAATAAAATATTTAACAAATAGATGTTCAAATCAAAAGGTTTGCTAGAACCAACAGGAATAAAAGCCCTAATCAGTAAGGATATGTATCTACTCCTTACAATAATGACTTTATGCACTCATAGATAAAAGTCTTTTAAATACAAAAGGAATTCATAAAAAAGTCATGTACGATTGAAATGAGCAAATATTGTAAGACACGAGTACCCACGTTTTCATAACCACATGAAAGAGTCTCTAAAACACATGTAACCCTATCAGACAACTCTTAAACTTTCATAAATAACCCTAAAGGTTTAATACATAACAGACTTATATACCCATAACTCATTACTACTCCTTTGAACTATTATAGTTGAAGTACTAATAATTATAAGAGGAAAAGATTTCATGTAATACTTTATCACTTATAAAGAAAGACCCTGATAAGAGAAACTTAAAAAAATACTACCTTTTCTATAAAGACAAGGGCATGATACAAATGAATGTTATGCTCTTAAAAAAATATGTAAAGAGACATTTAGTAAAGGGTATCTCTAATGTTTTGTAAAGAAAATAGTAGAACATAAAAAACAAGAAAGAGAAGTTAATTCTCTCATATGTCATTAATAAAAATCAATATAATCATGAAAGGAATCTTAGTAGGTGAAGGAAAGCTTATGGAAAACAAGTACTCTTCTCAAGAATCCAGAATTACGAGCCAAATATATTTGCTCAAGAATCTAACATTGGTTCCATGCTTATTTGCTTTGAGGCAAGTTTTGCACCTATTCACAATTTGACTCGCATTATGAATTAGTTTAGGTCAATAAAAGCGTTCTTGCACAAGCTATTGTATCTTCTCCCTTTCAAAATACCTAATAAGATAACCATCATATTTCATGAATTATAGCTTTCTGAGCATAACTTTATAGCATATAAAGTGTCTTTCCTTTATGTAAAAAGTTATCTTGCAAGAATTACTTATTCTTTGGTTCACTTAAACAAGCTTTCCAAAGAAAGTTAAAATCTAGATCATTTTTATATAATTTTTTTTTTTATATTTCAAAGTCCATTACCATAGCTTGCATTGTATTTATAAGAGCATATATTAGTTTGGACCATCTTTAAATTGGTTTAATTTTCTAGGTTTTTATTTCAAAATAAATTGTAAGAATTGAAGAAACTCTACCTATATTACATGTTAAATGTTGAGCTTTTGTTAGCTACTCAAATACTTAAGTGCTTCATAATTAAAATAAATAACAAATTCTTTAGATAATAAATAATGACTCTAATGGTTTAGTGCTCAGATGATAGCATAGAACTCCTTGTCATATATTTAGTACTTCTTTCTTCTAAGCTTTTCGCTAAAATAAGCTATTAGCCTCCCTTCTTGAATTAGAACAACTTCAATTCTCATTTTAAAAGCATACAATTAACTTAAAAGATTGTTATAAAATTTAAAAAAGGTAGAACGAGAGGTTCGATCATCTTAGTCTTAATAAGATCAAAATTAGCTTGAGCAGTGTCAGTCCACTTTAAAACCTCTTATTTTAGACACCCGGTAATAGGAGAAATCAATATGCTAATTTTTTTTTTATATATAAATCATCTATAGGATAAGACCAAGCTATGAAAACTCTAGATATTAAAAGTGGTTTTTAAAGTTGGCTAGCTCAAAATTGTATTTACCTTACAAGAGTTAGTTTTAATTTCTATGTTGGAAATAATATAGTCAATAACAAGAATATTATTAGAAAAGAAATGACACTTCTTGAGGTCAATCCTATGATTAAATTTTTGTATATCAAACTCTACAATCGATGTTACTTTTTTCACTTTCATGAAAGTTAATCAATAACCAAGCAAGCTCTAATGTCAATTTATAGTGTAAACAATCTAAAATATCAAACTAATTTGTAAATACATCAATATAAAGACAAGCACAATCAATCACCTATGAGTACACATGTAATGTATCATGGTATGCTCTTGCCTAGAACTTAGCCCACCTAACCATACTATCTCACAATCAACTAAATAGTCACTCGTCATTGGGAGATAATTTTTGACATAATTATGCTTAAAATAAATTACATAGTTTATTCACACATTTTTCCTCTAACTCGTGCAAGTTCACTTGATTCATAGATATGTTAATGTTCATGAATCACTAG